GTAACCTAAAATTTTTTTCTTATAATCTAAAAATAAATACTATAAAAAAGTAATCTATATTTTTAAATATTATTATAACAAATTTCATTTAAATATTCTAAATTGTTAAAAAAATAGATCAGTAGCATATTTATAGTACCAACACAGGCAAATTTGCTTGTATTGGTTTATAATCTAAGGGATAGCTTTGGACTATTGGCTTGGTTTGATTTAGCTTAGCTTCAAATTGTAGCTAAAGCTGGCTTCAAGTAAAGCTAATAACATCTCTAATTGAAATACGTATTAATTTAGGATGTCTATAAGCAACCACATATGCTATTAAAGAACCATGATTCTCAAAATAATATATATGAAAATTATTTTATGCTTATATGGTACATAAATTTAGCTTAAGCTATAAAGAAAATATTGATTGTTGTATATTAATAAGTATTATATAGGTTTGTGTATAAATGATTAAAATATATACAGTTCCATATATACGACAAACTTGACTCAGGTATATAAATTTCTGTAACTTTTATAATCTGTATGAGTTATTTGAATAAATTTGAATAAATTAATATAATTAGTATAATTAAAGTTTTCAAGATTGAAGTTATTTAAAACTGAAGAGTTTGAAGCTAATAAAAAAAAATTATTGCGATTAATAACCCTCTTTGAATTATAAATTTATAAATAATGATTTATTATCCTGGTATCTTGTAAAGCCTTTCACTTAATTAAACAAGAATCTTTATTAGTGATATCTAATAGAAGAAAAAAATACTTCATTATCATCCTTTACACCTCAGCTATATGATGAACCATTTTTAAATCCTATTACAAGATCAAATAGTCCAGTATCAGAAAGTAGAAGTATAACTGATAATAAAACTTATAATAAGCCTATTTTAAAAAAAACTAAATTAAGTAGAAGAGATGGTTCAAAAAACGAAGCTAGGTATGAAAATATTTTGTAGAGAAAAAAGTAATTAAAATTATCCAAAAACTCAAAAAAAAAGTTAATATCAAAGTTATATATAACATTTGTAAAGTGTTGGATAATTCGTGTAAAGAATATAATGCTCAATTAAAATTTTAAGTGGCTTAATATCGAACTTAATAGCTTACCTCTCAAGCAACTATGATATTATGCAGGATGATTCTAGATTACTACTTAATAATCAATACAAAATAAATTTTAGTAAATTATTAATTTGCGATTAAAAATTTTAACATTTATCTAATCTATTTATTATTTTATATAGCCCACGCAAACTAAAATTGATTCGTTTATAAAAATTAAATCAAAAAATAATAAACTTACTATGGCTCTTATTAAATTTATTATTTGCAATGCATAGCTAATTAGCATTGTATCAAATATATTCTTTCATGAATTCGTAAAAGAATTAGATCCAATGTTCGTATTGGCTACTGAAAGAAGCACCAAATAAACAATTTATACAATATATAATCAGTACACAAGAGAACTACGAGAAAATTTACAAAAAACTATAATAACTTGTTTATTTACTACAGATTTGTGGACAGCTCACAACAGGCAGAGTATCTTGATATTACCTGGTCATAGATCGACTCTGATTTTAAAATTCACGAAATATTGCTTTCTCTAAGTTAAATTTTTTAAAAAATTTTGTAAAATTTTTTAAAAATAAAATTTGAATTGCCGAACCCTTTTAGTATAACTACTCATTTACATAATCAGTATAATTGTTACTTAGCATTATATGAATTGTCAATTAAAAATTTTATATTAAATATTTGTATTAGCAAATAATTTAACCTCCATATGTAAATAACTTTGATAATTATACTAGGTTTGTCAAGTTGCCAAACCCTTATTTTGTTATTAAACCGAAACATTAATTTAGAATATTTAATTTTTTTTTATAATAGATAATTAAAAAAACTTTGATATATCTTTGTGCAAAAATAGATGTGCCCACTTGTTAGAATTCATCTTTTCTAGCTTGAGAATGCCTTCTGTTTATTAAAGATGCTATAAATATTATCTTAACGACTTTAAATATTTCCACTATACTTAATACTCAAAAAGATACAAAACGATTAAAAGAAATACAATTAACAAATGATGAATAGAATTTAATTAAAGACCTTGTTAATATCTTAGGACCTTTTTCTAATATTACAGAGAAGCTTAGCAGTTCTGAATATATTTCTATTTCCTACATATATCTGTTTATTTTAAAATTAATAAAAGAATTAATTAGCAACACAAATTGTTCTGATAAACTAAATAAAGTAGATTATGAAACAGATGACTTGGTATTTGATGACAGTAGATTTCTTAATGCTCAAGAAGAGGAAGAAAAAGGCCCTAAAAAAAGAAAAATCAAGATTAATACATCTACTGATATTACGAATATAAGGCTTAAAATTAAAATTGCCCTATATAATACACTTTTATACTATTAGAACTTGTCAAATGATAAGGTACTTCTTGATTGTTTCCTTGATCCAAGATGCAAAAAATTGCATTTTGCAATATCAAATCAACAACAGGTCAAGACCGCTCTTTGTATAAAGTATAATAATATTAAGTCTATTCGTTAACGTTCAATACTATCTAATAGATCTTTGAGTTCTGATAAAAATCAAACTAACCAAAAACAACATCAAATTTATAAAAAATCATTCTTTAAAATAATTTTTATGCAAAATTCTCTTGATAAATCAAACGATAAGCTTGGCTATTAACTTTTCTTGCCTAATATCAACTATCAATTAAACCCATTTACTTGGTAAAATTCTCAAAAACATTCTTTTCCTATTCTTAGTGAACTTGTCAAGAAATATTTTGCAGTATCTGCAATTTTGACTCCAAGTAAAAGACTTTTAGTGATACAAATAACATAATAACTAGTAAAAGAATGATACTAAAACCTAAGTTATTCGAACACATACTGTTTTTAAAGTGTAATAATGATGAACTTGACAATATCTATAATAAAACAAATGTTTTGAATATAAGTAATTAAATTGTCCTATTATTAAATAATTTTGTTAATAACTAAATTTTTTTTGTAATAAATCTTTATAAACTAATAACAAGTAAAGAATTTGCAAAATTGAATACCGTAAAAACTTGAAATAATGAGCATAGGCATTAATTTAAAAATCACGATTCCTAAAAACTATATATATAGTTTCAAAATAATATCCCATGCATGTCGCAAAATAATGCATATCCCACTATAGAAGCCTTTATAAATGATTAAAAAAAAATTTAGAAATTTTGAAACTAGATACTTAATTCAAAATAACACCCATAAGCATACTCAAAATAATGCGCAAGTAGTCAAAATAATGTACAGATGCTCATTATTTCGAGTTTTTATAGTACAGTCTGCCGATATTCCTAATTAGGAAATCAAGCTCTAGAATAATTCACACGTCGATCCTCGTATCTGATTGGCTATTACGTATGTCGTACTGGCTTTAAATCCTGCATTTTAGCATCTTACAAAAAAATTCTTCTAATAATTATTAGATAGT